TTAGGTCTTTTAAGTAGGCTTCTATTTTTCTTCCTTTGGTTTCTATGATTTACATAGTCACAAGAACTTATTATAAGTTTATACTATCTAGTATCAGTTTGCATTCTTTTGTGTAATCACAGACCTTGTTTTAAAAGACAATGTTATATGATTGTTACACAAATGTCATGTGAACTGCCAATCATACTGGTGCAATACAAATATTTTATCTCAACTAATTGTAAGAGACAGTTAACCATAACACAAAAATAATTTTTAAATTTTTATCAATATTGGGATTTGAACTCTGGATTTACCACTTAGGGGTTAACAACCTGACCACTTTACTAGGTCGCCATATCCCTAATTTGAATGTTTGTTTGATCATTTGATTTGTTAATTAGATTATAAGATAAATAAAAGGAATAATAGTTTGATGTAAGATAATCAAAAGTTAAGAAAAGCTGTAAAGATTTAAAGTAGATGAAGAGATTTTGAAAAAAAAAGTTGTTAAAAAGTAGTTTGATGAGAGATATAGAATAGTTGATTATTTGTATAATAAAGTTGATAAAAAGAAAAGAAAATTGAGAATGAGTATGATAATATTAATTTAGTTATATTTAGAAAGAAATTTGTAAAAGATAGATTTAGAGTAGGCCAAGTTAGATCAATAAGATTAGATTGATTTAGTTTTAGAATTTAGGTAAACCATTGTAGTTAATGATCTTTAGTTGGTTTATTTGTATATAAATATATATTGTTTTATAAAAGAATATTTTTGTTATCTGCAGTTGTAATTTGTTCTAAAAAGATAATTTTGTTATTTCTAAGACTATTAATAGTAGTAATAGATGAGTTAAAAAGAAGAATATTATAAATAGATAAAAGTTTTTTGGTATAAATAAAGAATAAAGAGAGATTTGTAAATTAATTGAAGAGAAAATATTATTTAAAGCAAATTAGAAAAGATGAAAAAGTATAGTTTTGTGTTTTATAATAATGATTAACTAAGATATTAGTTAAAAGTTAATGAGACTATATTTTAGTTAGCCAGCCTTTAATTCATTGTATACCAATGTTTTTAAGAATTATTAGTATATTAAAAATATGTTCAGTATTAGTTGCACTAACTTTTTGAATAATATTATTAAAGAATAATAAGTTAAAAGTAAGTTGATAAGCATTATATTATTAGTGTTTTTGGTTAGTGATAGCAGTTTTTTAATATAAATAGTAAAAAGATAAATAAATTTAAATTGTATATTTGCATGAATTAGAGTAATTTAAAGCAAATATTCTAATAAAGGTTGTAAAATTAAATTAAAGAGTACTGAAAATTTGTGAAAATGTTATTTTTTTATATTGAATAAGAATAAGAAAGTTTTTGATTTTATTTTGAATTTGATTAAGAGTTGGTATAAAAGAACCTTCACTATTATAAAAAATACCAAGATAGTATATTACATCTTGAGGTTTTCTAGAAAGAATAATCTGATTGCTCATTGTAAAAAAAGAAGTTGAATTTGTTAAGAATTTGGGTTTAATATAAAGAAGACTGGATTTGAAAGTATTGATTTCTATATTATTAAGTTTATATAATGTGAAAATATTATTTATAATATTTTGCATTATATTTGCATTTTCACAATACCAGGTAGTATCATCTATAAAGACCAATAATAAAATTATTATTAAAGAGAGTGTTATATTTGTTATAATGTCAATAGAAGATTGGCATGAAATTTTAAATAGGTGGTTTTTGTATTTTTTGTAAATAAAAGAAAGTATAAAATCATAATAAATTTTCTATAATAAAGGTGAATAGATTTTGTTTTGTTTAATACCAAAGTTAATTAGTATTAGAGAAGTAAGACCATGAGCAGTAATTACTCTAGCAAGATGATAAGAGTGTAGTTCAGTAATAAGGTTGATTCCTATTGAGAGAATTCTATTTTTTGCATATGTTCTGAAGTCTTAATATATTAATTTTATCAAAAGCCTTAAACATATTTTGAAAGAGAATCCAGGCTTCTTTATTATTAACTTTATAATATTTAATTGTATTATATAAGATTTATATAAGAAGATAAGTCAAAAAGTTTTTAGTACTTGCAAAGTTTAAATTTTATAAGATATTATGACTTAAAATAATATTATCTAGTCAGTTTGTAAATATTTTAGTAAAAACTTTTTTAAAAGATTCTATTATTAAGATTGGTCAAACTTAATTTAGTGTATAATTCCAGCTTAATTTTTTAAAAATTAAAAAGAAATTGAAAGATTTTTAGTTTAAAGAGATTTTTTAAAGTTGAAAACATTTGTTTAAGAAAAATCAAAAAATGTTTTGCACTTTAGAGCTAGTGAATTTTATGTGTTCATAGTAGGTTTTGAAAGGTTCTGCAGCTTTTTGATTAGATAGATCAGAAATTAGGTTCTGTCATTTTTGTTCAGATATATTATAAGTAGGATTTTAATAATGAATTTCAAATTCAGGATGTAGTTTATAAAGTGTAAAGTATTTAGATAATGATAAAATAGTTTCAAGAAAATTGGTTTTAAAATATTTAGTGAAGTAATGTTTAATTGCAATTAGTATTTCTTCATATTCTGTAAGAAGATTATTATTAAGAAGTAATCTATTAATATAAATATTGTTGTATTTTTAAAAGAATATTATAATTTTTTACCTATATGATATATCACCACTTATAAGATCATATATAATATTAAATTAAAATAATAATACAAATGCATTAATTTAAGGTTAGGATTAGCATTAGACTAAAGTTAGATGTGATTTTAGGAAAAAAGTTTTTAATCTAAAATTTTGCAAAAAATTTTTTTAATTAGAACATAAGATGTGGTTTCATATGCAAAATATTGAGTTACAGATGATTATTCAAAAAAGACAATGTTTTGCTTTGATTTCATATTACACCTAATCTTGTATTTTAATTGGTCGATCAAGGGTAGTGATACATTGCTATTGTGATAAATTATAATATCCTTTTTAAAATATTTTTTTATAAAAAAGTTTAGGTGTTTCTTTAAATGGTTTGTTTTGATCTTATATTTTTTCTTTGATTTTATTATACTGTATATAAATTGTTGATATTGGTAATTAAGTACAGTTTTAATAAGTTGGAATTCTTCTTTAACTTAAGCCAAAGAAGATAAAAGTATTTAAAGTAAGCAGTCTAAGTATTTAGTTTGATATTTAATAAGTAGTGTATTAAAGTTGGTTGAATCTATATGATTTTTAAGAAATTGTATTTCTTTATAATGAAAATAAAGTAAAGAGTGTTTTGATAAAGATGAGTCTTTAATTTCTTTAATTGATTTGATTTTTTTAAAAAGAATATGTTTAGTTAAAGCTTTAATTAGTGCTTTGTGAATTTTATTTTACATAATATTAAGTTAATTTTAATTTGCAATTGATAAAATTTTAGAAACTAAGTATTGAAGGTTTTTAGTTGTTTGATTAATATAGTTTTTAAGATTTTCTTTAGTACAATTTTTTCAAAAAAAACTTTGTGTTTGTGTTGTTTATAAGGTTTAGGTTTATTAATTATAATAGAGATTTTTAGAATTATAATATAGTGATTTGATTTAATTATACTGGTTGTAAGGATTTCTGTATAATCAATATTAGTAATAGATAAATTGGTTCAAATTTGATTAATTCAGCTTTGTATATTATTATGACTAAAAGTAAAGTTATAAGTATTTGGATAGAAAACTTGAAAAATATCTTTAAATTGAAAGCTAATTAGATATTGAATAATTTGACTTTTAGGAATTGATGATTTTTTTAAAGACAATCTGTCAATTCTTGAATTTGAAATACTATTTAGGTCTCCTATAATAATTAATTTGTATTTGTTATTTTGAGTAAGGAAAATTAAATAATCTTGAACTTCTTTGTGAAGTTGTTTTTTCTTATAAGTTAAAAAGTATATTTGAATAAGTCTAATTGACATATTTTTGAAATAAAAATTAAGACCAATTATATGTTTATTGAAATTATAAAACTTGGCAATATATTTGGAGATTTTTTAGTAAATGAAAATACTGACTCTAGCTTAATGAGAATTTGTAAATAAGCTTCAAAAACTAAAATAGTTTTAAATTTGATTATTTAAGAATTTGTCTTCTTTAAATGATAGATGTGTTTCAGAAAGTTCAAAAATTTTGAAATTTTCTTTTTGTAAGAGTTTAGCTAAGGCAAGTTTTTTTATTAGCTTATAGAAGTTTGTTAATATTTATTGAACTAATTTTAATTGGAAGAGAAATATGTTCAGATAAGGTTATTAATAAGATAGTTAAAGATGATATAAAAGTGTTTGGATTAGATAATTGATCAGATATAGAAAAGAAGCAAAGTTTGTATTAGGTATTTTCTAGTTAAGAATAGATAGTAAAGGTAGGTGGCCATATGTTTTATAAAAAAAAGAATCTATTGTAATATAATTTGGTAATGTTTATTTTATAGTATTTAAGTAGACATGTATTTTTGTTTTGTTAAGGTTTATAGATATTTTTATTGAACTAGGAAAAAGATTGTGATATAAATATTGAATAAAATTGTCAAATATAACAGATTCCAATATTTGAGTTAGTTGTGATATTTTATAAATTTGTTGTAGCATTTGTCTATTTCTATAGGAGTTGAAGTATTGAAAACAGAGATTGTATTTATAATGTCTTTTACAAAATTACTTATTATTTTAAGCTTGGCTTGCACAGCTATGGAGAATACTATAATCTGTTCTGTATGTTGGGTTTGGTCATCATAATTCTGGTTCTTCATTACAATACATTTTATTGATTTGTATATATGTGTTATTTGTATATATGCATTGTGTAATCTGACAAAAAGTATATATAGTATTATTTTGAAATTATAATAATTAATTGCAGATCCGCATGTGACCAGTATAAATTACAACTATAAACTATAGTGCTATATTTCTTAATAAAAAAAATTGTAGTTAAAATCTTTATTTCTTTTAAAGATTAAAATGTCAAGTACACATATAACATCTGATGAACTTATTATAACTGGTACAATAGTTCCAGAGCTTCACTATGGTCCATATTTATGAGATTGGTGAGTTTTTTCAGAAGAAAATCTATCTTATCCTATTCCTATACGATTAGGACTTGAAGTTATGATACAATTTCATAAAAATCCCTTTATTTTCGTGTAGTATGTTCTATACATAGTCCTTTACAACCGGATATATTTGTGAAGAAAGTGGGCAGAGTAGTGGTATTGTTACAAGTGCTTCTATAGCAATAACTTCTGTTTATTAGTCTATTTTCAGTACTAAAACTAAGTTTTCGGAACTCGCATATTTGGGTTTAGATCAAAATAAAACAGCACAAAAATTATTAGAAAATGTTACTTTTTGCCTCTTTATTATTAAGCTAGAAAGTATATCAATTTTTGTAAGTTCACTTGATAAAATTACACATTCAAATAAAATTAGTAATCATTATACTGCATCATTATTTTATAAATATAAAACAAAACAGTCAGTTTTTTTACAATGTATCAATGACAATTCATATTCAATTACAATTTATTAAGATAGTCAAGTTGTTAATAAATATAGAGACACTTCACCAAATGCTGTTTGGCAACAAACTGGAGTATTAAAATCTATTTGTGGTGAAACTTTATTTGTCATAAATCATCCTACAACTTTATATAATTTAGAACAAATATATAAAACCCAATTTCATTATCAAATATCTATACCCAATAATTGTACAGTAGCAGATTGGGACAATGAAATAATTATGAATCATCTATTTGAATTATATTTAAAAAAAGCAGTTAGTAAATCAAATGAAGAATGGCATCAGGTATTTCAAAGTTGGAAGCAGCAGAAAAGTAATATAATAGAACTTTATACTCATATTAGAAAAACCTATGGACAAGATCATGAATTTCGAAATCGTGAATTATAGGCATGGCATGCAGTATTTCGTGCAGCTGGGTGTATAGAGATTACTCTATATGACAAGGAAAATTCAGAGATAATTACAAATAAATCAATATTACAAATTTAATGTTGACATTTGAATGCATAGACATATAAAATTTTGCATATCTAAATAAATTTTTATATCAAATTCACCTAATTGCCAACATAAATGCAGCAAACCTCTCTAAATACAACCTTTAACCTCTATTCAAATATATACCAAACTTCTATAAATACAATTTTTCTCATTGTTCTCTAAATGTAAGCTATTAAAGTCTGAATATACAACTGCATTTAGAGAGATTTGACTGTATCATTTCTTGGTTACCAATATAAAAACACTTTTACAAACCTACTCAAAAAATTTTTAATTAGTGGAAATTTATTTGAGATTCGATAAATTGATTAAAAAAAAACAAACAAACCTTATCAATTAAAGTTGAGAATGTTTTAACTATTTCTAAATGTGAATAGTAGTAACTATAATAATAATAAACTATTATTATCATAGTTCTATATATTATTTGGTTAAAAATTTAGTAATAGCAAAGTAGCAGTACATTAAAAATACAAACCTATTGAATCATCCTCTTTATACTCCACTGATAGCAAAAAAGTGAATCACAAACTCAATTGAATAAATAATTTTCCATATATTAAAAATTTCATTAACACATTACATAAATCATTATCTTAGATCCTTTTCAATTAAAATTTCTATATACTTGAATCACTTAACCAATTTTTACTAATTAATTCAAACGATACAAAAAGAAAGCCTAAATTCTGAGTTTGATTTATTGTTTTGTTAGATTTAGCCTTAAAAAATCTTTAAACGCTAACTTTAACAAAATTATGATTCAAATTTAGAATTTTGGTTTTCTTTTTGCACCAGCCAATTTGTTACAAATTATTTCAATCAACTACAGTATGAGTAACTTATTAAACTACACTAAATGTTATCTAAAATTATTAAAAAAATATGTGAGATTTTAGATATTTTGTTTCATATACAAACTTACTAGCTTATAAAAATCTTATCATTAATATAACAACATATTAGAAATATAAAACAAATGTGAATTCCATATTCAAATATCGATACAGTGAAATATGATTAAAATAATCAAGGCTGATAAACATTATCTTATAAAAATTATGTGAATTTTACCAATATATAAAATATCTAAAAAACAAAGCTTATATATTATTAGTAGTATTCAATTTATTCAAAAAATTTTGCAAAATTTTAAATTAGCAAGTGTGACTCTTCTATAATGAATTGTAATAGATTCACCTTTTCTATATCGAAGTTCGTATATATATATTTAACAATTGATTAGTTACTAATAAAAAATAATACAACATAGGTTGAATTCTGGACAAATACACCTAATCCTGAAAAAGATTGTAATACTCTTAAAAGTCTATACAAGGATAGGTTTTTAAATGTATTATTACCAACTTTATCAGATAAAGTAAATATATCTTTAGAAACTTCATCGGATAAGATATTTTGGGACTGCTTTTATACTAGTTATGATGCAAATCCTAGAGGAATAGAAGGCAAAATTAGAATACTGTCAATTATAACGGAAAACTTTATATATCAAAAATTGATAGATGAATTAAAAGTAAGATAAATAAATATATTTATAGATATCAATAACTAGTTTTCAGTTCAAATTTATAATAAATACCAGATTATGCTAATATTTTGTTAAAATTTGAATCAATAAACTAGATTATTAATATCACATAATTGCCAAATGTTTTGTATAATATGTAATAATAATTGAATAATTTAGATATCCCCCCATACGGTCAATACAGCATGGAAGTTTTCTCATATTAATGGACCTGGATGTATTGCATTAGAAAAACTAAAAATTACTCATACAAAAATGTTTATTGTTAAGGAAAAAGAATTCGAATTTTTTTTTAATGATAAAGAAAATGTAACTATGAGTTCTTACAAAGTAGATAAAGAAACACAATTACCTGTACTTTACCTAAAAGACCAAAAAACAACACTTTGGGAAAAGTTTTCAGCTACTTATTCAGACAGAATAAAGCATACATCCTTTATAGCCCATTTGCAAAATGACTGTTTTCAGTACCGAGAAGACTTAGGTGGATTATGTGTAATATGTAATGACTATAGTTATCAGCCTTTTGAGGAGTTGATTGAGATAATTAATAAAAGCTTCTCACATAAAACATTACGGGTTAGTAAGATCAAACCAATATGATTTCCTGTTCAATATAACCCCATTGCTTTAATTGTTTCAAAATTATAGAAACAAATACACATAATATAATCAAACTCCTCTAAATGCATACCCTATAAAAAGTCTTCCTAAGTGCACATTACTGCTTAAACCCAACTAATATAATCTTTATAATTTTTTACCTTCCTAAATGCAAGTTTGACTAAATTTTCACATATGGTCCTATCACAATGCATTTAAAGAGGTCTGACTATATTATGTAATCCCTCTATTTTTTTTCCTAACATATATTGGGATCCATTATTTTTTAAAATTATATATTGGATCTAATCTAATAATAATATATATATTTTTTAATATCTCATTTCTTCTTTCCACTCTTTTATAATTTCATGTTATATTAAAAAAAAACAAATTAACCTAACCAAAATATATATATATAAAAAAAAATCATATTAATATATAATATACAATTTTTGTAGGATGATCTTATTAATCAGGTAGAATTATTGCGCTATTATCTAAAGCATAATTATGAAAAAGAGTTGGTCATGAATAAGAAAGATACAATTGGTCATGTAGATTGCATTAATCATTGTTTGTTATTTGCCTTTGGTAAATGTAAAAATCAGCATTTTTCACAATGTCTAGAATGTGACAAATTATTTAGCATATTTATAGATCTAACAAATAAACTAGATACCTTATATCATACAAAACTTACAGAATATCAGGAACGATTAACATGCTATTTGGCCCATCAAACCTGTAAAACATATCTAAGTGCTCAATTTAATTCCACGTTATGTGAACTTGATGATTATAGGGCAGTTGTTGTAGTTAATTATAAGATGCGAATTTTATCTGCAACAGTATAAGAAACAAAAAGCCAGTTCTTTGGAAAAAAAGGGTAGACACTTCATACAACTTTAGTATTTCAAAAAGATAAAGATAGTAGTAAAAATTTGAATATTCAGGCCTATGATCATTGGAGCACTAATACCAAACAAGATGCCTGATTCACTGCATCATATTTTGAGGCAGTATTCATGACAATAGATCCTAAACCACATTGGGTTAAAATAATTTCAGATAATGAAGGGCACTATCATAACTCAGAGTTAATGGCAATTATTAGTCACTGGCATAGTTGGTATAATATAGAAATACGTGGATGGACCTTTCTTGAACCCAGAAAAGCGAAGACCACAGTTGACTCTCATCACGTGACTGCAAGTAGATTTAATATCACTAGTCTTTTTTTTTTAAAAAAAAAAAAAAAAATTCAAACAGCACATTTCGAATGCTATTTAACCTGTCATTATTCTACATCATTTAATATATAATTTACTTTTCATGTGGTTTTGTGAACATAGTTGTTCATAAAATCATATAATAATCAAACTATAATGTTTTTGCGAAATAAAATATTATAATATCCTTTTTATATAAAGGATTCAGATACAACATATAGTGTCCTTTTTAGTATTGTATCTGGATATAAATAGATTATAATATTTTTGACATGTTTATTTTGCAAATTATAGTCAAATAAGATAGTAGATCAAACAGCAGGTTAAATGACAATGCGTGCTATTTAATGCATTGAATATGTTTTGGTTTTTGTAATTTACTAATAAAAATGCCAATTATAGATTGCACATGCAATTAAAAGATATGTTAGAATTGGATATGATCTTACCGAGGGAGCAAATATTGAAACAGCATTTCAAAATTTGAGCAGAACCTCTGTAGCACATATAGAGCCAAATCGTAATTTAACGACAAAAACATTAGTATTAGCAGACCAAAACAACATAAACCCAAATTCAGAATTATTAAGGTAATTGCTTAACAACATTAACAAAAAACAAGAAAAAAATAATCTCAATACATAATAGGAAAACTCTATCAGTAACAATAGTGAAAATTTTCACAATTAATATATACGAATTATTTTATGTCAAAATTAATCGTAGTACACTACATATAAGTATTCAAAAGAAATATACATCACACTACTTTGTTGTTTGTATCTAAAATTACCAATAAACATCAATGATTATAGTTCTTATTAATAATGATATGATGATCTAGCCATTATGGTTATTAGAAATATATATTACCTATTCAAAATCCATTATACAATATACAGTACTTCATTTGAAGTAACTCAAATATAAGTATTTCTCATCTTGCATATTGATTTATATTACTAAAGCTGAACATAAAGAGTCTTCATAATTAGATCATGAAGAGTCTTTATGATCAGCTTTAAACAATACCAATACTTTCTTGCTATAATATAATTTGCTTATTTTAGTACATTAATAACAAACACTAATATAATAAGCACTAAATATAAAAATATAATACTTATTTGTGGCAAAATACAATATAAGAATATATGATTTGAAGTTATCTAGATAGTTAGGTTTAAAAACTATTGCAAATGCTCAGATAATAAATTAGTATCTTAGACTAATCTTTACTTTCGATAACATACAATTAGCCAGCAATCAGAAACTAGTACAAGTAAAAAGAAACTCAAGACTATATCTGGTATTTCCAAATAGTTTTAGTAGACCTGGTCTGTAACAGGACAATTCGCTGGATATATTCATTCCCATTTTCTTCCTCATATAGGTGAATAGAATAACTTTCAACCTGCACAGATTGCATCTTTTTGCAAAAGATCATCTCCAACATTTTCTGAGTCATCTATACCAAAAACTACATGAACAATGCCAACTCCTAAAAAATCAGAACTATTAACAAATAAGACAGACGAAGAAACAGGTAATATAAATTTACTGTATAATGCTGCATATAATAACCTCCTTGATTAGAACCTGGGTATTATTCACCATCTGAATAATACCCTGTTCCTTATACAGTACCAGCAAGTACTATTCAAATTTGAAAATGGAGTTCTCTAACAAGACTCTGAGGATGTTAAGTTGATCTAATCTAAATTGTGAGATTAAGACAATCTAACCAGAATTAGAATGATTGCTAAAATAATACTTGCAAATCTTGATCTATGAACTAGAACAGATTAAATCATACAGATCACTTTAACATTTCTAACTGTATGCAGTACTATATGATAGTAACTGTAGTTTATACTAGCCATTTACAAATTGATTTGTATTTTTTTTTTAGTAAGAAGCAATGAATTGATCGAAATGTCAGATGCCACAAGAGGTAATAATACATATACATGCATATATGCATATATATATATACTTTAGTATAATACGTATTTGATAATGTTTTTTTTTATATGTATATATATGTTTGAAAATCACCTAAATTTTGTAAAAGATAAAAGGTAATTACATATATGAATTATATTATAAAGATACAATTTCTGCAAACTAAATTGCTAATTATATAGCATTGATCAGAATTTTCCCTTTAACGTGGGATGGGCCCTAAAAGAAAATATGAAACTTGGTAATAAGGGTGCAGGAAAACATATGACAAAAAAAGTGTTACAATACTTGCAAAGTTTTATTTGGCTGGTAATTTAAAAGCTGCAGATCATTACTTTCTTGAAGACATGCACGCTGATCTTGAAGACTTGGCTAAAAATAGAGAACTTACGTTTGAGGAAATACCATCAGTAAAACTATTAAAGGTTGGATTGGAAGGTATAATGCAAGCTTTAAAAAAGAAGCTTCAGAATGAGCACTTACAGAAACTAATAGTAACAAACATACCAATAAATATCAAAAATTTAGTTAGAATATACTTAAACACAGAACTAACGAGGTATTATCACTATGAAATCTTTCTTTCCTTCATATAAAGTTTCTTTAATTATAAAAATATTAAAGATCTATAAATATGACTAGCATGGTTGAGATTTGAGTTATGTATAACATATGTGTATTATATAATTTATTATAAAAATAATCACTTTTTATTATAAATACAATATTGTATTTTTTTTTGCTATAAATGATTTGTGCTATAATAAATCTATCTATTATAGATAGATCTGCAATTAAATTCTAAATTGGAGGGTATGGGTCCCATAGCTTAGCGGTTAAGCTCCCATGCCTCCACAGTCAAGGTCAATGGTTCAAGTCCGGCTGGAGGCAAAAATCAAGATTTTAGCCTCTGTAACCCAAAATGGAGCCAGTAATTGAATGCGAAGCCCTGTGGTCAAGTCCAAGTGCAGTACATGACTGAAGTAGGAATTCCCGGAAGGAGACCCAATCATGGAGCGCAGGCACTATGTGTAACAAGCGGCTGTTACAGAAGGTCACGGTTATGGAAAAGATTGCACATGTAAGTCCTTTAGGCTAGGGCAGCACCAACATCCCTATACCTCCTAATTAGGCAATACCAACAT